TAATAAATAAACATGGGTGTCTGGGTGTCTATCTTAAAGAATCAAAACCTTGTGCTGACATAAGATCTGTGATAGCTGTTGTGACAACTACAAAAACTAGTAAAGATCCAAATCTTGTTTAATAGCTAAAATGTGGGGTACCCATACAATGAAATATCATTTAAAAATAAAAAAAAAACTCGATGACCCAACCTGAATGAATGTTAAAGGCACTGTGCTGAGTGACAACAGCCCTCAAAAAGTTATCATGTATGATTCCATGATACGACATTCTGAACAGGCAAAAGACACAGAGAGGGAGAACTCGTGTTTCTTAAGTGAGGGGGGTATTCAAAGGACTGGACTGCAAAAGAGCAGAACAAGGAAATATTTTTCAGATAAAACTATTTTTATGTCTTGACTATGGTAAGTAATTATTCAAATCTATGCCTGTACTATCACTTTAAAAACTGCACTCAAAAAGTCTGTATGTTGTATAGAAATTTTAGAAAAGAAAGCAAAACAAAAAAGTTCTACCCTCATCAGTAAGGAAACTCTAATGAATAAAAGATTGATGTTTTGTAAGTCTTACTGTTTCATCATATTCTTGATATCAGTTTTATTTTTGACATATTTCATTAATAATATTAAATAGTGAAGGTCCATGTACATGAGAGTAGGGGATTTATCTGATGTTCTCTTATTCACCAAGCAGAATATTAACACACAGCAGTGACTGAAACACATTTATTAACTGAATCAATGTTTCCCCAAATAACCAATCCTTCCCCAAGAAACTTGTACTAAATAATTTGAAGTGTGTTCAGTGCTTTAGAAATCTTCATGATAAAAATTTATTACCTCTTATTAGGTTAAAACTGACCCGAAAAATCACAATTTTACAAATGGCTATCATGTGAATAAATTTAAACAGATTGTACAGGAAAATTTCTACTGTTTACTAATGACACAGCATGTTACACAAAGAACTCTTTGTAATGTACAAACACTGTTGAGTGGAAAGATCAGGATTCTAAGAATTTAACCTTCTCTGAAAGATCTATATTGCATTTTATTTAGTTATATTTTATTAATGAATAAAACAAACTTTAAAGCCACTACTTATAGCTAATTTCTGCCTGAATTTTCTTTAATAGAGTAGATACAAAAACTAGTAGATGAAGTCTCATTTGAATACATTTCATCCAAAATTAACTTCCTGTTTTGGAGACACAAGGCCATTAAAGATTATCAAAGAAAGTATTGGTGTATGCCTCAACATAGATAATATACCATGTGAATAATACACTAAGTGAAAAAGCCTAATCATAAAGAACTATACATGACTGCATTTGTATAAAATACTCAGAATAAGTAGATCTAGAGGCACAGAAAATAGATTAGTAAATCTGCCTAGGTTTGGAAATGGTAGCTGGGAAGGTTTGCAATGTAATAGCTAATTTGTGTATTTTTTTTTACAGAGGAAATTAAAATGTTCTAAAATTAAATGTAATGGTAGATGGTACACAGCCCTTTAAGCATATTAAAACTCAGTGAAGTATACTTTATATAGGTGAATTATATGGCTCTTGAGTTATATTTCAATAAATACACTTGAAATTACTAGGAAATGTTTGAGACAAATTTACATAGTCAATAAAATAATTTTATATAATAAAATTCACTATCAGCATCAAATACTCAGAACATACTGTACTTTAATGGATAAATACACTATATACTTAAATATATGCCTTTCTTCAAAAGTTTATCATTATGTAAAAAAGGATGTCATAAAAGTTACCCATTATATAGTATACACAACAAGCTTTTCACTTACAACTAAAGATAACTCAGGGACATTTAATTATAATATGCCACACGTTGCTAAATTCTCACAATCTAAAAGTCATGCAGGTTTCTGAAAAATTGTATGGTCCAAGTGTCAAAAATTAACTTTAAATGAAAAAGTATTTAATTAACAAAAGAGTCTAATTATACTGGTCTAACTCTTGTCTCAAAAAAATATTCTTTCTTTGCCAAGTTGAATATAATAGTTTGTGAATTATAAGATCAAGCAAGCAAAGTGTATGTTTTCTAAAATATGAGTATCCTTCATCAAGTTTTATACTTCAGGCAGCTAAAAGACCTATGTGGAGGGATCAGCATTAAGCCCAGAGGACAGGCCGTGCACAGCAAGAAAGAAAGAAATTCCCTCGTGTCTTTTGCAGGTCACTACCAAGGACCATGTTAGCAGATCCACACCAGACCCTTAACAGGCAGTTCTGCTGCTACCAGTAATTAGCTTGGACAGCTCTGGCTCCAAGAGCAGCAGCAAGGCTACACCATAATGAGCTCAGCTGGGATTAGCAGGACAGGGCAGGGAACCAAGAGAGCGCAGGCATTCTGCATTGCGTATGTATCTGGGAGATCAAACAAGGATGGCTGGTTAGGTTATCCCCTCTCCACCTCATTCCAAAAATGAAGCACGGCAGTGTCTAAAATACAGGCTAATGAAGAGCGACACCTCCAACAGATGAGAGCTACATTAATTAACACAATCTCTAGATCATATTATACTGCTTCTGTTAGAGCTAGCAAATGTATAACTTGTT